ATATAATATTTTGAGTCTTTTCAATAAGCAATAAAATAAAATTCTGTGCGAAATTCTTTTTGGGTCAAATCATTTATACAAATAAGAATGGTTTTAAAACCAGATTAAAAGTCCAATACTACAGCACTAATCACAGATGCAGCTAGCTGGCACCGTACTTGCAGCAAGTTGCGGTTGCTGCCGAAGTCAGAAGTAGCCAAGTAGCCACAATTATGCGGCTCAGTGAGCTGCACCTGCGCTGCTGTCTGCTTCTCTCTTTCTCTCTCTCTCTAATACTCCCTTTCTCTCTCTCTCTCTCTCTCTATCTCTCTCTGTCGTATTGAATTGCCAGAAGGAAAAGATAGCTCTGCTTGGCACGCTCTCAGCTTTGAAGTTAGCTAGTTCAGTTCTGTTCAGCAGTTAGGAATTGAAATGCCGAAACTGTGTCAGCATTCGGCTGAACTGCGTCACCGAATACCCTTGGCATGCCACACAATCTGTAAATCATTCCTCGTCTCTGGCTCTGCTTCGTTCCAGGAATTCGCGCAGCACACGATGAACGAGCTGCTCGGCTGGTATGGCTTCGATGGCGTCGATGTGGATCGCCTGGATCTGACGGCCAAGACGTCGCGTCTACTACAGAGCGCTGCAGCCGCAGCGGTTGCCACACAGCAGCAGCAACAACAACAACAACAACAACAGCAGCAGCAGCAGCAACGCAGTCATCTTCGCAGCAGTCGCAGCAGCGCTCTGGCAGCAGCTTTCCATAACAACAACAACAACAACAACAACAATAGTAATAGCAACAATAACAACAACAACAGTTGCAACAATCGCAAGGCGAGCAACTTGAACTGCCACAGCAATACGACAACTCCATCGGATCACGATACCCGCAGCTCGCGAGAGGATGACTCCAAGAGTCCCCATTCAATTGGCAAGCCGTCAGCCACAGTCCTGACGACATCGCATACTGAGGAGAAAATAGGTGAGTGTGGATGTCCGACTTCTGTATACCCTGCCAAGAACTGCCTAAAGAAGACCTGGAACAGTTCATATATATTTCATTACGATAGTTTGTCATTTACTGTTTAGGGCTTTAATATGCACAAAATTCAGATTAATCAATATTGAGGGCTGAAGAATATGTATGTCAGGTTTGGAGACACCCGCTCCATAAACAACTCATGGAGACAACTCATGTTCTGTCATGTCGGGCAGGACCGACTATATAATACTTGTTCATAGTCCGAAATAGAAAATTATAATTTGATTTGCAATGAGCCAACTATAGGTCCATCTGAAGAGGACCTATTTACAACGGGATATCAAAAGATATAGCATGCTCACGTTTTATCCTATGTATTATTAGAAAATAACGCAAATGTAAACATTCGACCACCTGTAAATCTGTGCAATGCATCGCATTACTTCATTTTGCAGATGTCAATATATAAATTCATATTTGTTACAAATTTGATGTGTCGAAAAAATACAATTTTTGTATTGAAATAAATAATTTGAAAATATGTAATCTCAATCTTACCTGGGCGACCTGACAATCTAGTAATTATTGGAAATGTCAAGGGTGTAGCTTTAATATTGCCGAAAAAATGTTCTTTCAACAATGAATAGCCAGACAGACAAACAGTTGGACATCGCATAATACCATTCCACGCTCACTTCCGCAGCGGCAATGAAAATGCTGGAAAAGTATTTTGAAACTCATAACAAATGTAATTAACGGCCAGATAATCCGACGGACTGATTGTCTGGCTGGGATTATATCAATAATATAGCCCTCCTAATTGCTGGATATATCAATATACAACTATTTAGCTTGTTTTGGACAGCCCTCTTCCCCCCCCCCCCAAAAGAAGAAATCATAAATTCTGTGCCCTCTGCATTGTTTGGGTCTGTTGTTGCTGCTGCTGTTATCTGTATTTCTTGCAACCTGATAAGTTCGACTTGTGCTCGGCATGAAAAGTTCCTCTCGTCTGCTCCTCTCCTCCTCCCTCCTCTCTCCTCTCTTTTTCTCTTTCGACGACTCACAGCTGAAAGTCAATCATTATGCGAATTTTGCGAGCAGACAGGTTTGAAACTTTGCTAACTTTGCCATCAACTGGGTTTGGCAGTTTTTTTCTCTGTTTTTTCCTTCTTCTCTTTTTTGTTGTTTTTTGGCTATCGATGCTAGCTGCATTATCAAACAACAGATTCATTAAGACCCAGAGATGGTTTACAAATTTCGAAAATCGAGTATTGTATGGGCTGTGCTTGCCAGCAAATGGAAATGGAGCTGGGAGCTAGGCACAGACCAGGACAAGGGCAGCCCATTCTGGTAACGGAATCTAGTAGTTGCGTCAGTTGAGAGGAACTTTGTGGATGTTTGTACAGTCTTATTTCGCACTATTGATTTATATATATCCCTAAATAAAGCCGTAAATAATTGAGATATTAGAAAATATTTGACTATCTTGAAATAATAATAGTTTTAGTAATTTAAACAAAGCTCTTAAAAAAACAAGTAAGAATGCTGCAGTCGGCCGTTACCAACTGCAGAATACTCATTAACACCCCATTTTTTGATTTTCCACGCACTCAATTGATATACATATATTAATGTTCCTCACTGTACGTGTCTACCTATATTCTTCTTGTGCAAATTAATAGAGGATGCTATCAGCAAGATTTTGAGCTTCTAGCTCTAATACTGTAGAAAATGCAGTTTTTCCCGATTTGCCACACCTCTAATGGGCGCAGACACATAATGTTTGGCCAGTTCTTAGAACGAGCTATAAGTAGCGTAACTGTAAATTTTGAATGCTTACACTAAAAAAAAGAGACGGAACAAATTTTGTGGGTCATCGATAGAGGAGGTTAGCAGTAACTCAATTATCAAAATTTGACTGTTGGAAATATAAACTACCATCAATACGCCCAAAATATAGCAGGGCAGATCGAGAAAATATCATATATTATTAAAAATGTCAGCAATGGGAGAAATACGCGAGTATGGATTCCATTAGCTGCCAAAAGCGTCAATAGCGCCGAAAATGCCGGACATTGGTACGACAATCTCAGGTTGGGGAAATTAGGGGAAAATTACAATATTTCACGGGAAAGGCCGCATGCATATCATTGAAATGAAAAATTGTATTCAACTTAACAAGACACAACGAAGAGTGCTCTTGGAGAGTATGCTCGACTGAGAGATAAACTCGTGTGTGTGTGTGATCTGATGATAATTGTAGTTTATCTTACACGTATGTACATGCATAGCATAAAGCACCTCCTCACATACACACACACATACGACGTTGGGATCTTTTTTGAGAAGTTGTAACTGAAATCCTCTCCCTGGTCAAAAATAATGGTACCTCACCGTCCTCATCTGCTTGATGCACACATCTTCACAAAGCAATTTCCCATATTAAAAGCGCCTCTCAATACTTCATTTGTGGTAACCTCTCTCTATCTCTCTCTCTCTCTCTCTCTTTGGCTTGTTTTGCAGACTACAACAACTGTTGCTGGTGCCATCGCCCGATCGCAGAGAATGCGCCAGATTATCTGACGAGCACGGACGGGCCGCGCTACTGCTCCGAGTCCTGCTTCGCGCAGAGTCGCCGGGCGTCCTTCAAGAAGGCCAAGACGTGCGACTGGTGCAAGCACGTGCGACACGCCGTGAGCTATGTGGACTTCCAGGACGGCGCATCGCAGCTGCAGTTCTGTTCGGAGAAGTGTCTCAACCAGTACAAGATGCAGATCTTCTGCAACGAGACGCAGGCGCACCTGGACATGAATCCGCACCTGCGCGACCAGGGTCTGGAGGCCGCGGCCGCTGGCGACGGAGCGGGCCTCATTACGCCCGATCTGTGGCTGCGCAACTGCCGCAGTCGCTCGGCCTCGCCCGCATCCACCATTTCGGTGTCGCCCGGGCCGGCGGCTGTGTGCATTGCGAACGCCTCCGCCTCCGCGACCGCCTCCAAGCGGAGCTCGCCCTGCCACACGCCTCCCACCCATCCAAGCAAACCTCTGATCTCAGTGGCGCCCGTGTCCAAGCTGCTGGCGCAGAAGACAACCCCCCTGACTGCGGCACCCCAAACGCCGGCTCCGCAGCAGCGCCACCACGCGCTCCACTCCGGCTCCAAACCGGGCCGACGCAAGCGTCCGCATCGTGTGGTCGGTGCCGGCTCGGAGACTGTTGCCAGCCTGCTGCAGAAGCAACAGCAACAGCAACAACAACAGCAGCAGCCGCAGCCGCCCACGCTGAGCGCAGACTTTGCTGGTTCCAGTGTGCCGTTGCCTCCACTGTCGCCCATGCAGGAGCAGCAGCCTTCGCAGCAGCAGCAGCCACCGCAGCAGCAGCATCCACAGCAGCTGCCGCCGGCTATGCCATGCCGGCCCACCGCTGGCCTGCCTGCTGGCTACTTCGCCTCAGCGACAAATGGAATGTTGGGCCATCCGTTTGGCGCCCGACCTGCACCACCGCCGCCCCATCCCTTCCTCGCTCCTCCGCCGGGCATGCTGCCGCGTGGCTTCGGCGCCCACTTCGGACCGCCGCCGCAGATGCAGCCGCAGCTGCAGCCGGAGTTGCATGGAGCGCTGGGTGCTCTGCTTGGCGCCGCTCCGCCAGTGACTGTGATGGTGCCGTATCCTATTATCATACCGCTGCCCATACCCATACCCGTGCCCTTGCCCGTCGTGGACTTCTACAAGGCGCACCTTACTCCCGAGCAGCGCAAGCGCTTCGATGAGGAGCGTTCGACGACGGCTGCTGAGGAGCAGCCACAGCCACTGGACTGCAGTAAGGCCAAGCCAGAGCTGGAAATGGAAACGGAGGAGCAGCAGGTGGAGCAGCCGAAGGAGCTGGAACAGCAACAGGAGCGGGAACTCGATCAGGAGCAGGAGCAGGTGCCGGAGCAGGAGCAGGAGCGGGAGGAGGAACAAAAATCAATACCAAAGACAACGAAAACTAGAACAACACCATCGCCAGCGACGTCGCCCGTCACAGACTCCTCACAAGACATGTTGGGGGAGACGACGCACTGCGTCGTTCTGCACAATGTGGAGTCAGAGGCGGGCGGGTGCAATGCCAACAGCTCTGCTGAAGCAGAGACACAGAAGCTGCCCAAGTTGAAGATAACGCGACTGCAGACCAAACGCACGCTCATCCAAACCAAAGAGACCAGGGAGGCCACTCCCACTTCACCCACAGCGGTGGGCAGCAGCGGCTCTGCTGCAGCGGCGGAGAGCACTCGGCCGCTGCGCAAGCGCAAGAGAATAATCGATTGTGATTTCCAGAAGATTACGCTGCGAGAACTGGAGGCAGTCGATGCACACAACAGCAATAGCAATAGCAACAGCAGCAGCAGCAATCACAACAACAACAATAACCACAATGGAAGCAGCAAAGAAGAAGAGGAGAGAGAAGTGTGCAATATGAACAGCAACGACAGTGCTAAACAAACAAAAAAGTAGTGTATTAGGCCTAAGTATAGAAGCGTACTAGATATAGCAGTAGCCCTTATCAAATATTAGCTTATATTATAAATGTATGCGTGCTGACTTAAATAAACATAATAATATTAAACGATGAAGTGTACTGGCACATAGTGCAGGCAAAAAAAATTAATTGAATGAATAAATTATTACAAATATACGTACAAGTGTGTTTTAAAGCTAAATTTTTTCATTTAACAGAAATCATAGGCAGAATGGCTTAACAGTTTTAAGTGGGTTTCGAGTTCCTTTTGAGTAATCATTAACAGCAATAGGGCTGCCACTCAGCTCGTGAAACTTAAAGCTGATTGCTATACATCTCAAAAGCTTTAATTTTTCACATTTTTTTGTATTTATTATTTTATAATTAAATGCGAAATAAACTACATTACAAACATACAACATACAATACAAGTTCATCATAGAGCGCGCTTGGTAAAGTGCTCATCGTCTATAACCGTATACCGATTGTTGCGGTACGTGTCCAGCTCAAATATATATTTCTTGCCACAATCCTTCATTAGCTTTAAAATAACGGGTTTTATATTCTCAATGCCCGTCATATTGGCCAATTCATTATAGTAATCGAACTGTTGGAGATGTGAGATATTATTCATTTCATATATGTTTGTAAGTTATGTGAAGTATCAGTATCAGTTATACCTGCCGTTCGCCCATTTGATGGGCCTTTTTACGATTGACAAAGCCGCACTCCCAGCGCTCGCCCTGCTCCTTCTCCAGGTCGGCGATCATCTGCTCCTTCGTGGGCAGCTGGCGCTCTCCTGTGTAGAACTTAAGCGTGAAGCGCACCTGCATATCGAATATGTGCGTGGGTATCACATTGAAGGGCAGCCCAATGAAGGACATAGTGGGGTTGTTGATGTTGATGCAGTGCTTCCACAGTGGCTGCACAAAGTTATCGATCACCTGAATGCCCACATCGGTGCTGAGGCAGGGAAAACTATACTTATACCCGGTGCAGTAGACCACGTGATCAAAGCTCTCCTCGCTGCCATCCTTAAAAACGGCCCCCATTTTCGTGAACCGCTCCACGTCTGGCTTTTGCGTTACATTGCCCATGAAGGCGGTATTGGGCGTGGTCGGAAGATGATGACTCAGGTACACATGCCTGGCCTTCTTCCGAATGTGATTTGTAATGTCCATGCCACTGGGACCGGCACCAATAATCAGCACGGTCTGATCTACAGAGATAAATAACTATTTAAATAAATTAAGCAACTTAATTAAGTAATATACCTCATTAATAATGGGGCTCAGCTTTACCGTGCACTTTTTCAGATAATTTATTAAATTTAAATGTGATATAAAAGTGTCAAGACTTATAATCTCACGATGATTATTCACAAAAAAAAGTTCTTCCGTGCTTATTCTTATCAATATTGGACTGCACTAACTAAACCCTAAAATCTGTGGAACAGCATCACTTTACCGAGTTAATACCTATATCATATCATATCTACCGAGTTAATAAAAATTAAATACAATATACTAAGATATTAAATAACTGTTTTACATGAGTTAATGAAAAAATAAAAATAATAATAGAGGAAACATTGATACATATTAACATTTATGTTACCTCGACATTGCAGATTGACCGTTCTACAGTCCTGATCACTGTTAGCCAATCGCTTACGATTTTTCTACATATTAACATTGTGGCAACATTTAAACTTTCTGTTGTTATCACATCATGCGGGGCAGCGCGCACCAATAATAATGCTTGCACGTTTTTGTAAAGAATTTTATTAGGATGATTTATTAGATTCATATGTGATACAAACGTGTCAGAAGTTAAAATATCATGCTAATTAATCACAAAGCAATTCTTCCTTGCTTATTATTACTTTATAAAATAGTTGAAGTAATTCCCGTTATATTTATACATATTTGAAAATCTATCTCATAAATCTCTGGAAAAGCCTAGATGAAGTGCTTCCCTTTTATCAGTTAGTGTACTTCCATGGGGCGTTATAAAACTATTCCACGATTAAAACCCCATCAGCCAAACATGCTGAGTGCTTGATAAGCGCTCACTCTTTATATTATAGTATACAAATGGCAAAGACGCACTGTAACTAGGCTAAAAGTTGACGGGACTGACAGTTCATACGCTTATGACAACTGGAGCAATCTTATCAAAATTCATTCTATACAAAATGCGCTGCCCCATCTGAACATCACATGGACTCACCTTTAAATTTCTCCGCCTTGCGATAGACATGACTGTGGATCTGCTGACCCTCAAACAGATCCATGCCGTCGATAGAGGGCATGTCCGGTTCCGTGTAGTGGCCATTGCAGACGTAAATGAAATCGTAGTAAACCGGATCGCAAGTGTTGTTGTTGTGATCCCAGACATAGACCTTTGGGAAGTGTCAGCAAGAAATATTGTATGAGATCGACCGATCGATCGTACAACAATGTTACGTGATTAAAAGTGACGCAATGATTAATGACGTCAGCACTCACCTCCCAATCGTTTAATCTTGGACGCACCCTGATCACCTCGTGCTGCAGCTTGATGTGCGGTCGCAGGTTGAAGTGATCGGCATAGGAGTGCAGGAATTCCAGGACCTGCCGTGATGTGATGAACGAGTCCTCAATGTCTGTGGGATACGGGTAGTCCGGATAGCCCATGACTTCCTTGGGCAGATTTGTGCTGCAGATCGGTTATAGACTTTACGAGGCTGATCCTATTTGCTTTCGAGTTGCTTGATAACCTACCGCAAGCCCTCGTACATGCTGCTGTGCACCTCTTCGTGTTCGTCCTTGGGCAGCTCCTCAGAGAATATCCAGGTGCCTCCGATTTCTGCGCCTCGCTCGTACGCGACAGCCTCCAGACCCGCTTGCAGTGAGTTCTTCAAGGCGCTCAAGCCTGCGGTGCCAGCTAGACATATCCGTAAATATTCACCGATAAATTCAACTTGTTTTAAATACCGTCTTCGTAGCTCTCATTTACCTCCAATCACGCACACGCGACGCAGCTCGTGCATTGGCGTCTTGTTCATCTTTACGAGTTGTATTATTTAACTTCTCCGCCGTTCTCTGCAAATCGTTGTACGTATTTCGTATTCCGGGAGCCTCCGTCAACGCGTCTCTCCAGCTCGCTGAATGATAAGTGACTACTACTACTAGYTCACTCGATCAGCGTTTCCAGCATGTGCTCCAACGTTCACAGCTCGCGCTAGGCGAATACCCTATGCGAAGCGCTTTATGTGGGCATACTTGTTAAGCTATGCATTTTGACAATATGTTTTTATGTTTTTAGTTTTATATTGAATAATAAAATATCTTAAAATACATCGTAATTTGTATACAGTGAAATTCTATTTTTAACAAATTTTATCTTAATAAATTTGCTTTTATTTATTTATTCGCATTAATATAAATTGCGTGTCGTAAATTATATCAGCTTCAGAGTTTAAAGCTAATTAGATATTTTGATATGCTTATTTTTGTGACATTATTATTATTATTTTTGTTTGTTATCTTCAAAATAAACCCCTGAAATATACATTTATATAGTGCTTAAGAGATATAATATGGGAACGCATTGTAGACATCTGTTTCCATTAGCTTGGCACCAATCCAGAGTGTCGCCCACTAGATCGATATTTGATTTCCGTATGGATATAACGCGAATTGTACATCCTAATATTTATTTTGTATAAATCCGCTCATTAAGTCCTTCGTATAGAAAATAGAAAATTGCAAAAGGAAATCGTTATACACTCTCATATATAACATTTTCATGCCCGTTTCGTATTTGTAGTGTGTTGAAGAGTCGACTTCATTAATATTTGCCTTGTACAAATAAGCTCAGTCACATAACAGTGGCGTTTACAAAGGCAAGTGCGCCGGCGTCTGCGTCGGCTCTGGCGTTGGCGTTAGCGTTGTCGTCGACGTCGGCGTCGGCGTCTGCTTCGGCATGAATAACAGCGCTGGCAGACAACAAGGTAATGAATGCAGTGCCCTATGCTTGTGCCCTGTGCGGTTTGATAAGACGGGGGCTAGGCTCGTCTCGGCTCGGTTTCTGGCAAATGCATCTTAATCTTTCCCTTTCACTCGTTATCAAATTTTTCCCATTTTGTTCGTTTTTGCAGCATGATTTTTTCCCATTTGTAATAATTAAACAATAAATAGGAGTATGTATATATGTACATATATATACATAAATGGGACAAAATACATATATTTTACTTGCACAAAGACTATGTCATTTCAGTTTATTAGCATACTTCACTTGATTATCAGCTTGAGTTGACACACGCGTAAAATAAAGAGAAATCTATTAAATCTTTGTTTACTCAATATATACATATACAAACACAAATGCACACTCTTATGTTATATATACATATGCATATAAATAACAAAGTGTGTTGGGCATGCAGAAAGTAAAGTAAAACTCAATTTATAATTTTGCATTAATAAAACATTATAAATTTGTTGACGGAAATCAAAACTTACGGAAATAATATGAACAGCCTATGTTATGAATGCTTAGATTGGATAACGGCACTGTGGTTAGTGATAACGGTTAGTGTTATCACTGACCAGAAAACAGTGGTGTTATGTATATTGTAAATAATGGCCTATTTTGGCGATATTTGAAGTGCACTCTGAAAAGCGTGAACTAAGATAAGCTGTGGGGGGAATCGTTTATTTTTTTTCGCTTTTTGACTACTATCAATATTCAATTTGTTAGTTAAAAGACAATCAAAGATTGAGCAGCTTAAACTTTCTCATAAATTAACAGTCCATGTTAACTCAATTTATAAACTCTAAGAAACGGTTAACTTCTTCAGATTCTGTTTCATAGTAAAATTTGTCATAATAAACACACATTTAATGCCAAAAATGAATGTATTTCAGTCATCACTAAAAATAGTGTGAAAATTAAATACATTATACATACATACATAAAATATAGTTTTTCTCAATTAATTAATTGTTTTTTTTTTTTTTTTTTTTTTTTTTTTTTTTTAATCATATGCTAAATGCAGCCCCATATATTTGTTAGTTCCTTGTGAACTAACAACATTCACTGTAAACACCTGTTGCTCAATTGCACAGCATAAGTATTTCTGCACATTAACATAAGTATTTCAGCAACAAACATTCCTGCTGTTATTATAACATGAGGACACACGAAAAGCACACAGCCTGTTGATTCGACAGAAAAAATTTCATAATCTCGCATGATAAGAGCTTTCATTTCTTGACCGCAGACACAATAGCAAACAAAACGCAAAAAAGCAAAAATATAATAAATATTTAGTCAGACATTCGGTTTAGTTTTTATTATACAATAAAAAGAAAAAGCAATCGCAAACAATTATGATAATGGGTAGCCGACGGACAGCGGACTTTTCTAAGAAACTAGTTTCAAATAAATGCAACACATCAAAATCAACATTTGATAGAATCAATTAGCTTTATAGTCTATTGGGCACTTTTTACAATTTGCCAGTAAGCTCGGGCACAGCCTTGAACAGATCGGCCACCAGACCAATGTCGGCCACCTGGAAAATGGGCGCCTCGGGGTCCTTGTTGATGGCCACAATTGTCTTGGAGTCCTTCATGCCAGCCAAGTGCTGAATGGCTCCAGAGATGCCCACAGCTACGTACAACTCAGGTGCCACAATCTTGCCCGTCTGTCCAATCTGCAGATCGTTGGGCACATAGCCAGCGTCGACAGCCGCACGAGAGGCGCCAACAGCAGCGCCAAACTTGTCGGCCAGGTCGTACAGCAGCTTGAAGTTGTCTCCAGACTTGAGGCCACGTCCTCCAGAGATGATGACTTTGGCGCCCGTCAGCTCAGGACGATCTGACTTAGTCAGTTCCTGCGAAACGAATTCGGATAGGCTGCTGGCATAGTCGCCAGCTGGCGCCTGCTCCACAGCACCATTTCCGCCACTAGTGGCAGCTGGGGGGAAGTTCGTGCCACGCACTGTGATGACTTTCACTGGATCCTTGGACTTGAGCGTGAGGATGGCGTTGCCCGCATAGATGGTGCGCACAAAGGTGTCCTCCGACTTGACATCGATAATCTCTGAAATAGGCGACACGTCCAGTTTAGCGGCAATACGTGGCAGCACGTTCTTGCCAAAGGCTGAGGCACCGGCCAAAATGTGGGTGAACTTGAATTGCGATTGGGCAGCCAGGACTAAGGGAGTCAGGGACTCGGGAGTGAAACCCTTGAACGCGGCATTTTCAGCGACCAGAACTTTGGTAACGCCCTCCACCTTGGCCACAGCTTCAGAGGCCTGAAATCAATGTCAAAATCGGATGATTATGCAAACCATCAGCAACAACAACAATAATCACATAAGCTTACGGGTCCACATTTCGTGCCTGCTACCAGAACTGTGACGTCACCCCCGATCTTCTTGGCTGCCGTGATGGTGTTCAATGTGAGAGGGTTGAGTGTCTCATTGTTGTGCTCCGCCACGACCAAGGTGCTCTTGCAACGCTGCAACTTCAATTGAAAAATTGATTATTTAATTACATATAAAATTCTTAAGTGATCGTGCGCCATTTTATTTTGCCGATTCTCATATCATACTTACAAAGCTGCTGCGCACTAGATTGCGGGTGTTGTTAACAAACATGTTGCGTATTGTGAAGAATCAAAACTTTAAGACGTATTTAGTTTAATTCTAAACAATTAATGTTAATTGGTTAGAAATTACCTGCCGCAGTATGAAACGCAGAAAGTCCAAAAGTCGGTTTGCCAGCTGTTTGCGTTTGGCATTATTTAGTATATTCTGTTGCTGTTAGCTGTTAACAGAATAGCTGGCACAAAAATCGATCGCAGTGGCAACGCCGTAGCATCTGCTTTGAGCGTATGTATGTATGTCTAATTGCGTGTACAATTGTTATTTTGTATATAGCACGCGGTAAAATTTGTAGTGAAATTGTTTTTATTTTCGAATATGAACGTTGTATATTGATAAAAATAATCGCAGAAATGAGAAAAGCGATACCAGATCGGTATGTATATATGGTTTGATAGTAATTTTGCGCAAATGGAAATGATTGTTTTTGTTTTGTTCTTGCAGCTGGCTGAATTATCGGCCCATTGGGGAGCGCATCGCGGGAACGCGATTCATTGCATTTAAAGTGCCGTTGCGTAAGGTGAGTGTGTGGCTGACCCCGCAAACCGGTTAACCGTTGCAGTCCCAGCCATTTGATTGATGCTGAAATGTGGACCACCGGCCCAGCTCTATAAATAAATAACAAAAGTGATCTGCCTTTTCTGCTCGGTGCAATTATGCATAAAAGTGGCAACTGGTACAAGCCAGGTACAAGCAGTGCAAGGAGCAGCTGGACCCCACGCAAGCAGCATGAATATTAAATTAAATTGTTTTTTGCTTAATTAAATAACACCGTACAGGCGCTGATCCTTGCTCCTTGCACTTGCCCTTGCCCTTGCTCCTTCTTATTAATTGTACTGCCGACGGGCACTGCATAAATTGAGCAATTTCTGCATGTCTTGCGTGTGTCTCATATTTGCTCTGTCGTATTTCTTCGCAGAATATTAATGAGAGTGTGGACGACGAGCAACTGCGTCTGGCGCCACACTCGTTGCTGGAGTCGGTGCCAAATTTAGGACTGATCGTTGACCTGACCAACACGAATCGATACTACAATCCACAGGTAAGTGCGTATATGTATATATGGAGTCTACTACTTAAACTTCGCAGATAATGTCAATGGAAACTCTTGCAGACTTTCCGCGATCTGAATGTGGCGCACCAGAAACTCATGATACCTGGCCATCAGACTCCCACCAAGCAGCTGGCACAGAGGTATTTCAGGTCTACTATTATTTCAATCAACTCTTCTAATTGTTCCTCTTTCAGATTCTGCGAGTATGTGACTGACTTTCTGGATGCCAATCCGGATAATGGTAAGTGCCCGAATCGCTCACCCACGCACAGCTCGCTGCCGCTTGTGCCGTGGGAACGCTTTCCCCCAGCACCTCGGCCATGCAGCCACGCAGATCCAGATCTGTCAACACAATTACAGCCTGAGATATGCAGAGAAATCATATCAAAATCCAGTTGCCGTCCGTGTGTACCATGCAATTACCTTGTGGCGGCGGCAGATGCCTATCAGCTGCCGAGCGCACAATAAACATACCCTGTACTAAAATAGCAATATGTAGCAGAAAATGGTGATGAAAAAAGATCGCATGGAATTTCTTGTTAACCTTTAGCTGGCGCATGCGAGACGGTGGACGCGCCCACTCCAACTGTTAGAGATAGTTCTCAGCCTTAGTTGCAAGTTCCAAGTGCCAGACAAACAATTCACTTAAGCCAAGAGAACGTTGGTCATGCAACTCCCATGTGACTGACTGTGCAATACCCTGCTTTCATTTGCAAGCAGAGCAGAAAAAGGAGGCAGTAAATCCGTTAGCCTTTACCTTTCCATGATATAGGTTAACACAACCAAGGGTATATAAGCAACCAAATATATAAAGGCAAAGAAAGGTCTTTGCTTATATATATTTGGTTGCTTACCATTGCGATGGCAGCCATTGTGAATAATTTAGAGATGCCAACTATCGTGACTGTTTTACGTTAACAGATTAGACAAGCACTAAAAAAACATCCCAATAATAAATATCCCACTGACTGTGCCGCATGTTAAAGCTGCGGTCAAGAACCAAAGCCTAAACTCGAGCCTCGAGGTGGCCGGTTCCTGTTAAGGGACAGTGGGGCAAATCACTGCGAATGTGTGTTAACTTAAATACCTAGTATAATCATTACTGGTTATTAGATTTGGCAGCACTAATCGTGCCTTTAGTTATCCCTCTCAGTTAATTTGAGTATTAACCTTATTATGTCGCAGCCAGACAGAATGCTCACTAGAGAACGCATATATACATATGTATGTGTATATTGCTGTGGCCAGAGTATGCTTAAATACTATTGTGCCCCACATTGCGACAAGGATATTGTTTGTAAGCGCAGCCTAAATACATGACGTACAATTGGCGGTTGCGACCGGCTGCTCTTGTAGTTGCTGCCAGAGCAGAGTAAAGCAGAGCTGAGTTGAGCACCCGCATAGCGCACCACCGCAAAACGACTTTTTTGTGCCCCTGCCGGCCCGACCGACTAACAGAGCGACGCATCGACCGACCCGACATGTTTTTCTCTTTTGCTCGCATTAAATTTATTACCAATGTTGTGCATATTGGCAAAGCTCGCTGTTTTCTAGATGTATCTCAGGTCGCCGCTGCAGACCCATGCATCTGCTTTTATGCCAATTGCCCCAGCAAACACAGTCGAGTCGCAGTTTCGGTTGCAGTTGCAGTTGCAGTTGCAGCAAGCCGGTTTGCCAGAGCTCGGCGTGGGCGATGCGAGGCGCATTCCTGTGGCTGCCTCTCAAATGAGATCTGCAGCAGTTTGCGTCAGGTAAATGCTTTCTCCACTACCAAACTGAACCTAAACATCTAGCATGCCCTTCTAGGCAAGAGGCTAACATGTATTGTATTTGATTTGTCATTTTTATTATTGTCATAGAAGCATTTATGTAACTCCAAAAGAAAAAAACGTGATTTCTCAAATCCATTTTACAGACAAACTCATTGGCGTGCATTGCACACACGGCGTAAATCGTACCGGTTATTTGATCTGCTACTTTATGATCACTAAGATGAACATGTCGCCCAAGCTGGCTATACAGAGTGCGTAAACTATCAGCCAAAAAGAGAGGAGCTAAGCATCAGCATCTATAATAATCCCTTTCGATCCGCAGCTTTTGCCGATGCGCGTGGCCACAAAATTGAACGTAAAAACTATACCGAGTCGCTGCAGCACTTGACGTCCGAACAGGGACCATGCAAGCTGCTGAGCGAAACAAGTCGCAGTCCCAGCCACACTGAGGGCAAACGCCGGCTGAAACAACGGCAGGAGCGGGGCGACAGGCGGGAGGACGTATCTCTCAATTGGCGAGTCCGCCAGCAGGAGCACAACGGTTGGCAGCAGCAGCCGCCGAGCCGTCAATGGAGGAATACCAATACTTATCACAGCCAAGATGATGACTCGCAACGTAGGCCATTGCAACGGGAGACTCCGCGCTGGCGCCAGGCGGCGCTCAGCGAGGACTCAGCTCCAAAGGTCAGACGCTACAATGACTACCACTCGGACAACGACCGTTATCAGCAGCAAAACAACTGGCGGCCGAGGCAGACTGCCGGCCAATGTCCCAGACAGGAATATAGTTTCGCCTACAACAGCAGCAGCCGAAGCAGCAGCAGCTACAACAAGAGCAACAACAGCAACAACTATCGCGGGAACAACAACTACAGTAGCAGAGGCGACAACAATGACAACTACAGCAGAAGGGGCAGGAGCCGCTGGAGCAACAACCACACCAGCCACTACAATGAGCGAAACTATGGGCGAGACGAACGTCGCAGCAATTCGAATCGCTTTCGGCGCTTTGAAACGGACTGATCGGTTGCCCGCCTCCTGGCGACGCAACCTCGTAACGTTCATGTAATTAGTGCAATTTGATTCTGTACTTGTTGCAAAAGTTTCGTTTCGTAATAAATTCCAGTCGTCTGTTGGCCAATTTGTTTGTAAATTATTGTCCATTAGGCAGCGGGCAGCGGCGACAATTAAAATTCATTTTCGACATGGCCAGAAGCCGCGGGTGCCGCCAGTTCAATCTGTAAGCAGTTAACAAGCAGCAGATCGCACACGGCAGATCGTGTGAAGATACGCTCCAAATTTGCATACGCTTTTATGACGGCCAGCCGAGCTGAGTCGCCAAGGCAGAGCAGACCAGACCCGGGCCGGGAAGATAAGCACAGAGCGAAGAGTGGCGTGAAATTCCTGGAAGTTAGTGCGTCGCCGGCGGCAAGCGGCTCCTGTGTCAAGCAAATGTCAAAAGCTATGCGAGATGCGTGAGTAGCAGCGCACTCACACACACGCATGTGCGAGGCTGTGTGCCCACTGTAGGTTGCACTGTGGGTGACACACTGCATGTGTGTGTTCAAAAAGCCCCTTACAGCTGTCAGGCAGCTAACAAGTCGTCAAACTAGTTCGGCTAAAAGCGTGACGAGTTCCTCTAGTAAAGGCTGGCTTCTAGCCTAGCATGAATATTGGGTGCAGTTTGTTCTTCAGGTGCATAAATATCTGTTAATAGGATTGTGTTGCAGTTGAAGATGAAGATAGGATATTTATTACTGATCCCCTTGAAACCCGCTTTAGCCACTACATTCAAAACAAAGAAAGGCTGACTGTGGCCTCGATCTCTTCTTGCATGTTCTCTAGAACTCAGCTGCCTTTAGGGGTAGCTGTCTATGTATATTAGATGTTACTACATTTGGATGCTCATTCCAAGTGCTTCTTTTAGAGTCCTAAAATATGTATCTGTCATACGAAGAGGGCCAATCGACAAGTGCTGCGTACGAAGGAAATGAAGCTGCGAACTGCTCGGTGAGTGCATCTCGTTTAGTCTCCACATAATGGCCCGATATGCCCAACTGGAAGAGCGGCACCTCAAAGTCACCATTGGGTTTCTGCCGAAAGGAGGTCGTCAAATACTCTGGGAGTACTTCAATTATTGAAGCTTACCGAAATATCAAGACTGAAGTTCAGTGGCGACCGATCTGTGCCGTAGGTGAAATAGATGTGATAGGACAGCGGATAAGCGGGCGGGTTCTCCAGGTAAGTGCGATCGAAGGACCAGTTGCTGAGCGTTGCGAAATCATCCTCGTAGGTCTGAATGAACAGACTCATGTGATCGGGGCCTTCTAACTTGAACTCGAATCGAGCCGTTGTATTGCTCTCCAGAATTTGTTTACTTAAAAGGGTCAGGTTTGCCTTGGCTGGAAGTTGAACCGGCTGTTCTCGTGGCAGCCATACACTTCCTAAACGATTGTCGACCCAGCGCTCATCGTATAGGGGTACACCACACATCATGTGCTTTTCGCAGTCGGGTCTTATGCTTCTCGCATTTGCTATTGATCGCATTTTCATTGGCTCAGCTTCCCGACGGTCCTGGAAACTAATCAGATAGCCCGACTCATCTTTAGCGATGGAGCCGTCGTACTCGTAGAACACTCTGCGCACATGCTGAAAGTCGGCACATATTAAATGACACTGGTCTGACAGATAGATCTTTCAAGTACCTGAAATGATACTCGTTCACTGCTTGCTCTAGGGCGATAGGGAAATCCGATGTCAGTGCTGCTTGCGAGGATCACCGTGATCACAGTCACTGTAAGGATGCTGAGGACTATCAAATAGGGACGCCTGAATATGTTAATCAGCGGAATCTACGTAGGTATACCCTTTGCCTTTAATATAAAATACTGCAAACGGTCGCGTAGGTTCGCTTACCAAGAATCCCCAAGCGAAAGTAGTACCCAAAGCAGTCACGCCAGCGATGGCAAGATCTGGATTTATGGCGCTGCCCAAACGTCCGCTCATCGGTATCACCACCACCAGCAGGAGATAGGTGCGGTAGGTGCAGTACAAGAAAGGTATTACCTGGCAAGCCATTACCAGACCCGTCCAGTTATAGTCCCGATCGTGGAGTGTGGTCAAGAGGTTAAGCGCCAAGGATACGGCATAGAAGCCGTTCAGGATTGTGAAGATGTAGGCGGAGCGTAGCCCATAGGCAGTGAGTCCTATAGCGAGCATAGACAGCAGAATGGCCCAAATGTGCAAAGCCAGTTGTAGGCCGTAAGGGAATGATAGCTTGTCCTAGGGAATTCGAATATTAAGTGGGCTCTTGAATGAATATAACTTTTAAGTACTTACATCCTTTTTCCATTGATAGTAAATTGTGATTGGAAGACTCAGTCCGATGAGCGCTGGACACACATAAAGACCGATTAGAAGGGATAGAGAGCTGAAGTATGTCAGAGACAACCCGAAACTGTCGAACACATAAGCGATCAGAAGAGGCAGAGCTAGGCCTAGTGCCAAGGCTATAATCTGAAGAATCAGTTGGATTAGCACTCGCTGCAGCACTTGAGTGAGGGTTAGCGAAGAAATAGACGACATTCGCCAAAGGGAGACAAAAACCAGAACTAGGCCCACTACAGCAACGCAATTGTTTAATATTATGCCAGTATCCTCCGAGTAGCTGATGAGAAAGAGTCCCAGGAAGTCAAAGAAGACTGCGTGTCCTTGTTCGTAGGCCTAATGTTGGGAACATGATCTAGAGTTTTCTTAAAGCAATGTGGAACAAAGATTTACCTGTGGATTATGTAGTTCAGTTGCATTCGCCAAACCTCGCACTAGGCTCAATACATTGTCGCCCGTGCTTTGGATAGAGCTTCGGGGAATTACATCGATGCGGTCATACTTAGTATGGTATATGTAGCCATTAATGATCTGGGCTATATCCAAGCCTGGACACTCAACAAATTGATTAAACTTTTAACCAAGCAATCAACAAGTTTTCTAATTACCTACCTGGAATTTTTCCGTGCTCTACAAATGCGGTGAAGTCTGTGTCCGATGGTATCACACCCGATTGAAATATCTCCTCGCCCAAAGATGTGGCAAACGGATGCTTGGCGTGTTTCTTGTAGTACTTAAAGATTGAAATTGATTTTATTAATTAATCTCGAGAGTCGTTCTCAGGAACTTACGTCGACGAGCCAGGGATTGGAGGGACCACTTTGAAAAAGAATATCGCGCCCTCCACTGCCGGCTGCGTCCAAATTGACTACAGCTCTGCAGAGGCGGTTGGTTAATAGAAATTTCCCTCACAATATAAACACTTTTTATGCATACTTGCAGTTCGGTGCCCACTTGTGCTGGGTAATGAAGCCATGGGAGGCCTGGAATGCGGTTTCTTCAGCGCCATTGAAGAGGAAGACGACGGGATGCTCGAAGGATTGTGGAGTTGTGGCCATCACGCGCAACACCTCCAACATGGTGGCCACCATGAAGCCATCGTCACCCGCTCCCGGAGAAGTTGCGACTGTGTCGTAGTGACTGTTCACCAGGAGGTACGACTCACTTGTCGAACTCTTCGGGGTCAGCTTAACGATAATATTCCTTACGCCCTGGTACATGTTGAGCATATGGGTATACCTAAGTGCGCCCGAGGCACGCTGAATGTCCACTTCCATGGTGAAGTAGTCTTGCAGTAAAACTTTTCTGATCGCTGCCAGTTCATTTATCAGGAAAAGCACAGCCTCCACCTCATTGGCGTTGCTGCCCACCGTCCTGGGTCCTATGTTAACCAGATTGTTCAGAGTGTTGTATGCGCGATCTCCAATGAATTCGCCTTTGTGATCATCTTCGATGGTCAGCGACGTGGGCATGCGATAGAAGAATGGCAAGACCACTGCGAAAAATAGCAGCGCCCAGAAGAGCAGGAAGCCGGTGCCGAGGTACCAAGCTGGCTTTGCATTCCTTTTGATATAATTTTTCTGTATTTTGCTGGAAATATCCACGTCATCCTCCTCCGAAATCTGCGAATTTGTTATGTAAACTTAGCAAAAACATAACTTTTCATTTGCGCACACTCATACCAGTGTAATCTCGTCGCTCATTTTCGTAAAAAGTTTTGTTTTTTTCCGTAGTGAGTCCAGTGTTTTTCGTTGGTCGACTAATATTTCGCCAGAAAATCGGACCTCCTTATATAGGCGTAGATAGAAAGTCATAAAGAATGGAAATATAAATCCATATTTTTCAGAAGTATATAATTTTATAACACCAATGATTCAAAATATGTTTGATAACAATAAAACGCGGGCAGTTTCGTATCTATCTATAGAGTTTACAAATAAATAAGCTTCTTAAGCTATTAAAGGATCTATAAAAAAATTATTAAAAAGGAGAATTTTATGTAAAGTAACTATTTCGCAAACTTGGCTTTTATTATGAGTTTTATTTCTGCTGGGCATTTTCAGATACCTATAAGGTGACAACGACTTTTTGAGCTGCCCTCGCTAAATCAGATTTACAATCCCCATTGAAGAAAGCACGCTTTTGAAGGCAGGCAGAGTCATTGTGAATTGTTGCTCGCACGCCATAAGATCATGCAGATAAGCCATAATCTGCTGCCATAAAGCATAGGCCATAATCAGATTTAATCTGAGCTTTCAGATTGGCATTCTTCCCGATCTCGATTAGGCCATGTCTGTCTGGTGTAGCCCAATCAGTCACCATTCGACCAAAACAGGTTACCCCAGCGAGCCTATCTCTTTGTCCACTTGCTCGCGCGTGAGTCCTATCATGAAGAATTTCTTATCTTTAAGAACTTTATTATTATCTTAGATTCTTTATTCATTATCCCACTAAACCCAAGGCCAAACACAACTGCTATGCTTTATTGTGCTCGATTTAGAATATATATCTTGTGTATTGCGAGGGCCAATCGACTACTATGGCATACGAAGGAAACGTCGAGGCGAACTTCACGCTGTGCTCATCCCCTTTATCGCCAATGTTAGATGCAGATATGCCGAGTTGGAACAGAGGCACGTCAAAGTTTCCGTTCGGTTTCTGAAATTGAGGAATATTAGAAAGTAGCCGAAGTAAGCATAGAGTACTTACTGTAATATCCAAATAGAACTCAAGGGGCTCACTTCTGCCATAGGTAATGTATATGTGATAGGCGAGCGGAGAAGCTGGCTTTTGCTCCAGGTAGGTCTTGGAGAAGGACCAGTCGCTCACAGTTACAAAGTCATCTTCGTAGGTTTGTATAAACAAACTCAAATAGGGCGGTCCAGTTAACCGGAAGGTGAACCGCATCGTCCTCTTGTCAGCCAAGACGGTTTTGCTGAGCAGCTCGAGAGTGGTTGGTATTTTGGGTACGACGGGCTCCTCGCGGGGTAGCCAAATTCCTTGCAGACGGTTCTCAACCCAACGCTCATCAAATAGAGGCGCTGCGCACATCATGTGATTTTTGCAATTTTCTGACTGGCTTATTGCACCCGTGAAATTCACGCCAGGAAATGCTGATGTTTCACGTCTATCCTGTAAGTTGAATAAATAGCCGGACTCGTCGCTGATAAGGGAGCCATCGTAATCGTAGAAGATTCTGCGGACATGCTATATATATATATATTACGGATAGTATAATTATCAACTCATATCAATCAGTATTTTAAGAAGTACCTGATAGAGAGCCCGCGCACTATTGGTCCTTGGGCGATAAGGGAAGCCCATTTCTGTGCCGCAGGCTAGGTAAATCGTAACGCCTGTAATCACAAGTAAGGTGAGCAGCACCGATCCCGATCGTCGGAACACATTGGTAAAGGGCAGCTGATGAGGCAGGGTATAAGCTTTTGAGGAATTAAAACCGGATAGCGAACTTACCAAAAAGCCAAAGGAGAAAATCGCACCCGCCGCTGCTAGAGCAGCAACGGTCATATCCGGATTGGATGCACTACCAGAACGACCATTCATTGGCGTCAGCACCACGATGAATGTGTAGAAGAGGTAACTGCTATAAAGGAAAGGAATCACCTGACTAACAATGACCAGTCCACTCCAGGAGTAGCCGCGATCGTGGGAGGTACTCAACAGACTCAAGGCCAACGATACAGCATAAAAGATGATCAAAATCGTAACGATGTAGATGGAGCGCAGTCCATAAGCAGTAGCGGCAATGGCCAGAAGAGACAGTAGAATGGCCCAGCTATGCAGGGCCAGTTGAACGTGGTAGGTGAAAGGCAATTTGCTCTAGAGCGGACCAAATTGAGTGGATTGTTCGATCTAATGCAATCTGGCATACTCACATTGTCCTGCGTGTGATAGTACACTGTGATCGGAAGGCATAGCCCAATCAGTGCCGGGCAGACATACAAGCCAATCACAAGTGAAAGAGTGCTGAAGTAGGTGAGGGACAGTCCGAAGCTGTCGAGGATGTATGAGACTACTAAGGGCAGAGCCAAGGCCAATACAAAGGCAATGATCTGAAGAATCACGAGAATGATTAGACGCCGCCAAATCTGATTGCTGGGCAGCTGGGACACAGCGGACATGCGCCACGCAGATATGAAAACCAAAATAAGTGTGATTCCTGCTGCGCCGTAGTTCAGAATTTGGCCCGTTTCCTCCGAGTACGTGATGAAAGTGAGGCCCAAAAAGTCGTAGTATACAGAGTTTCCTCCTTCATGCGCCTAAAGTTGGATTACTAAGAAACTGTTTTTAGAATAGCACATGCTCATAACCCACCTGTATATTGAGCAATTCAGGTGCATTAGCCAAGGAGCGCACTAGACTCAAGACATTGTCGCCCGTGTTTTGAATAGAACCTCGAGGAATCACATCAATGCGATCGTACTTCGTATGATATATGTAACCATTGATAGCTTGGCCAAGATCAAGGCCTGCACATTAAAAAGTCCATAGAATATCAATAGATTTACATTTAGCTGACTTTAGTTTTACCTGGAATCTGTCCGTATTGCGTAAAAATGCGGTAGTCCGTATCGGAAGGTATGAGTCCCATTTGAAAGAATTCCTCAGCCAAGGTTGTAGCAAAAGGATGCTTCGCACTCTTCTTGTAATACTGCGGATTATGACCAAGTTGAAATGGTACTTGGAACTGTTTCCTCTTGCAGAACTTACATTGGCTAGCCACGCATGTGAGGGGCCAGTTTGAAATAAAATCTCGCGTCCGCCACTTCCAGCACTATCCAAATTGACAACAGCTCTGTAAATGCAATTCCTAAATAGGATTTTCTCTCAAAATCAAAACAATCCCGAGGCATACTTGCAGTTGGGAGCCCATTTGTGCTGGGTAATGAAACCATGTGACGCTTGCATGCCCATCTCCTCGTCTCCATTGAACAGGAAGACGACGGGATGCTCGAAGGATTGTGGAGTTGTGGCCATCACGCGCAGCACCTCCATCATAGTGGCGACCATGAAGCCATCGTCACCCGCTCCCGGAGAAGTTGCGACTGTGTCGTAGTGACTGTTCACCAGGAGGTACGACTCACTTGATGAATTCCTGGGGCTCAGTTTGACTACCACATTCTGGACTCCTTGGTACACCTCAAGTAGGGAGTGATAGATGTGGGAGCCAGAGGTTTTGTGTACGTCCACCTCTAAGGTAAAATAATCCTCAAGTAAATCCCTCTGGATCTTCGATATTTCATTTAGCAGAAAGTTTACTGCTTCCAGTTCATTGGCATCGCTGCCAGCTACCCTAGTTCCAATGTTGACCAGATTGTTGAGGACGTCGTAGGCTCGATCCCCAATAAACTCTCCTTTGTTATCATCCTCGATGGTCAGGGATGTGGGCAGGCGATAAAACAAAGGAATAACCACTGCAAAATACAATAGGAACCACAGCACAAGGAATCCGCTTGCGAAATACCACGGTAGTTTTAACTTCGAATTGCACTTGATCCTCTTGCTCGCTGATCCTTCGCCAGCCTCCTGCAATATCTGCGAATTATGTCCGTAAATTTATTGAGAGTTCCAAATCCATATTATTTCTGAATGTCTTTACAAGTCTATCCTTATCGCTCATGTTTGATCGTTTGACTTTTCTGCAGTTGTGTGTTCCATGGGCTGCCAAGTGAAACTGGCTGTTTCGGAGGAATCGTTTGAACATTTTATAGAAGTCTAGAATGGTGTCATAAAATCGCTGGCCCAATAAATAACCAATTTAGAATATAATTATTTATTAGGCCCATTTGTATAGTTATTGCCGTCTTCTATCGGAAGCCTCATTGCAAAAAGCTATATTGTGCTAGATTCGGTGACTATCCAAAATATAGTATAGTCGCCCACGTTGTGAAGAGAGTATATTGGTTTTCTGCCAGGCCTGTTTGTCCGTCGTGCTATAGAAATTTGTAAAATGTTCAGTAGTTGGTAGCCTTGTATTATAAAGGCAGAAATAGTATAATAAATTTGGGATATAACATTTGTCATACAACAGAAAGAGTTTATTATAGGTGATATAAGTTCGAAATTTGGAATATATACTCGTGTAAAGCCAGTACCAAAAGAATATTCTACATAAATCTACTCAGATTAGGGTCATGGAAAATTTGTTAAAACTATTCGCTCTAGAGCTTTCATGCCCGATATCTGTATATGTATATATAGATGCACATATATATAGATCCATAAGAACCGTACCGAACAATAGATATCTTTTAAAGTTAGAGCTAGAAATTAAAAATTTAATGGTTAGTTTTGTTTGTTTAAGCCTCCTCTATAATTTACATTTTTTGAGGGCATACACTGGCGAAAATAAGTGATATACTTTACAGCTTTCGAAAAATTTCAATTTTGCTAGTTTTTGTATTTTTACTTATAAAATTATTATTACTTATAAAATTTAGCACTACGTAAAATATATTTGGAGCCTTCTGTTATGTAGATATATATTACAGGGTATTCATCAGCCGCGCACACCCCACTATTTGGCTTATGCTATCATTATGAATTCGGTTGTTGGACGAAATGAATATGTTGAAATATATATAGCAAACATTTGGTTCATTATTTCCACGTTGTTTCTACAAAGGCGTTCGTGAACGTTTTTCGTATCCAATGAGGGGTTTTTTCAAAGCCAAATCTTATCAAATTGTGTTTTTAGTTGTCGCTGTTGTTGTGCCCTATGATTAGATTGGCCGATAATCGTTTTGAAATATGTAACCATTAAAATAAAATCAGTTAAGTGTAATTTAAGCTTTTAGTGAATTATGTGAATAATTGCTCTGATTTTCTAATAATTTTAATGGAGTACCTAACAGATTCCGCTGAACTGGTTATCAACGAATAAATTACAAAGCTTTTAATTGGGCATAAATGATATTTATATTTATTCCTGACACATTGGTATATTTACCTATTAGGTTATTCGAAATTAAAGCGTTCCTATTAGAAAACCATTGCCAACCTGTAGTCCAAAGATATAAAAAGAATGTCTCGATTTAATAGGCCTTCGAGATCTTTAATATTAACATAAACAGGAATATGCCGAATAATGTTTTTCTTTGAATCGTTATATAAACTGTCTCACCTGGCATGTGCGATCCGTACTCTGTCCTACCTGTCACACGGGCGGCCTCCTGATCGTTTCATTATTTCGTCATGGTGGTCAAATGTCAACTTATTAGCATAAATGTGGCTGCTGTCGCCGTTTCTCGGCTCGGTTATCGCGCTGCGATCTTATCTCGCGACGATCGCCAATTGTTGTTGTTGTGGCCGCAGGTCCTGCGACAGCGACAAATCGTTGGCCATTACAATTGGCAACATCCAGAGCGAAAGAGAGGGGAGAGAGCGAGGTAGAGAGAGAGAGAGATATGGAGTAGGGAACAGCAGCAGGCACAGCGTCGTACACCGGCGGCAATGCAATCGACTTGATGTTGATGTCGGATCTGATCGGATGGGACCGATAAGCGGCTGTGGCATGTGGCGTGAAGTTGTTTGTTGCGCTTAATTGGGCTCCGTTTGGGTTTCTGTGCCCAGCTATATTTAGCAACTTGAGGCAGCTGGGCTTGGGCTTGGAGGCCATGCCTACGAGCAGACAATGCGGACTTACCTCCAGAATAACAATAGTGTTCTGAGTGAGAGAGTTGAGGAATGATTCATGCATTCACTACTAGAGTTAAGCAACTTGTCAGCATAACTTACCGGTATAGAAATAGTCTTTGAATATGTAGAAATTACTTGGATTTCATTTACGATTATTTACTATATTTCACAATAATGAAAAGTATATATTCATTTCGTACAGCTCGCTGAATACCTTGATATCGTTCCTCGCTAATTCCTTGCAGTTTGCTCATAAAGCACATTTAAATAAATATTTTGAGAAAATTCTCATATGTCAGAGCTGACATTAATCCTATTATGAATTGAAAAACTCCAGCGTCAATCCAATTTAAAAACAATGAAAATATTATTTATTGTGTGCTGATTAATCGAATAACCCGCAGACATATTGTGTGCAAATATTTTTTATAAAGTTGTTTCTTTATTTTTGTATAATCAACTGAAGTGCTGCCATATAAATACATAAATTATTCGAGTGGTTTATATAGTATGGCTCCAGACATTCAGACTGGATGATTTCCAAAATAGAATTCCGCAGCAGTTCCGAGCTGAAAGACCAGAGGGATTTTACGTGAGTTTTATATAATTTTCAAAGTCTCTTATTAAGCGTTTCATAAATTCAGTCAAATTACTCGCACTATTTCATGAGATGCACTGAAGCTCCTGTGTCCTGCTTCCCTCATCCCGAGCACAAGACATTGTATACTATATATATATTTGGGTCTTTTGGTCATGCCGCCAATGACACATGCTGCTGCCTCTCGGCCAGCTCCCGCTGCTCGCTGTGCCCATAAATTGCAAAATCAACCAAAAATTGCCAATTGTCAGGTATATTTCTTTATGACCCGAGCTCAAGCGCAGGCACTGAGACGCTGTGGAGCTGAGAGACTGAGCGTATGAGCGTCTGGAAAGTGTGGCCAATTTTCACTGGCTGTGCGATGGTCGTTTATCTTCGCATAAGTTGGAGTGCGATAAATGCATTCCGCGGAGCAGTGGAGGGCGAATTAGAGGTAACGAGGCCACTTTGAAGCCCGCTGCCGACAATTAGACATGGCACATAAATATCCACCTCATATATGTGCGGAGCCGGCCTTAAGGCGATGCCACAGCATTGATTTAAATAATAGCATTTAAAGGGGCATTCGCATATCGGGACCGGGTCGCCGGACCTAGCGCCCAACCACTCGCCACATGCCCCATGCCACAATCCCTAAGCACACAATGAGACCTTAGAGCCAAACTGCAATTAGCTTGGGAGTTTCGATTGGACCGCAGACGAGGAACAGCGCCGAGCCGAGCCAGGCCAAACCAAGGAAAAGCAAACCAACAAAGCATGCAGTCAATTATGTGGCATTCGAATCAGGCAATTGCCTTTAGGGCATGCCTTTCAATTGTTTCTGTTCCCACTGTGTGTGTCCAGCCGGGGCTGTGATATGTGCATCACGGGCTGTGATTTGCGGCTCACATGTCCGCCTGATAAAAGGGTCAGACGTCGCACACAGCTGAGCGCACCAGATAATCCCCCCATTGTCGTCGTATAGTCTCTTTCAACAGCCCAGGGCTGGATGGGGTTGACGTTTAAATTTGTCATTTCGCTTACACGCTCGGTTGACTTAAATGCCCTGAAGCTACACAATTGACGAAATTCCAAATTTATAATGTGAAATTTGAAATGAGGGTTAGCTTCTAAGATAAACTGGGCTATTAAGCAGTGCAAACAGTGGCAAAAATTCACGAATGTTCCCAAATTCATTCTAGATTAATGCCTCAATAAGGACTAAGGTATGCCCATATACTTCGTATAAATAAGGAGATGGTCATCGGTGAAAGAAGTATAAGCTATTCTAAGGGCGCACTCCTTGCTTTGCTGGAGATGGGAGGCCCAATAATATTTTATGGTAACCAAAACCGAAACTTGTATGAACATATATAGTTGGGCATTTCTGGCATCCACTTGTGTGTACAGTGGGTAGAGGGATAGACGAATTATGATATGATATATCTGGCAGTAAAATCATCCCAGTTTCGTAAAAATGAAAGTGGTAAGACATAATGAATTAAGGTTATCTAGATATCTGGGTTGTATGAAAATAAAAGACTTCAAATGCGACTGTCGGCGTTTTTAGGGACGAACAGGGCTAGATCAAGTTAGATGGGTTTAGATGTGGATTCAACTCAAGGATATCCAATAATTAATAAGTACGATTCCTAAATGATAATAATATATTATTAATTAT